TGTTTAAAGACAGAAGGTCGTGGGACAAATGGTGGGTATTTGAGGCTGTGGAAACATATGTTATAAATTTGGTTTAGCTGTTTCTGGTAACTGGGATTATTGTGACTGAAGACCCAGGCCTCCCAAGTCTGCCCTCCACCCTTGGGAATGCACAACAACATGCCCTCCAAAACCAGAGGCAGGAAGAAAACGTCCATGGGCACATCTCACGGATGGACTGCACTCATGCCCAGTTAAGGACAGCAAACAGTGGACTGAGAAACTTGCTCTGGAGAATTAGATCCAGGCCCCAGCCAGCTGGATGTTTTCATAACAGGCCTGTGAGGTGTGCTGAGAAAGCATTTGGTAGTTCTTTTTTTTTTTTTTTAAAGATTTTATTTATTCATTTGAGACACAGAGATACAGAGAGAGAGAGAGAGAGAGAGCCTGAGCAGGGAGAGAGGCAGAAGGAGAAGCAGGCTCCTCGCTGAGCCAGAAGCCCAATGTGGGGCTTGATCCCAGAACTCTGGGATCATGACCTGAGCCGAACGCAGCCGCTTAACCATCTGAGCCACCCAGGCACCCCCATTTGGTAGTTCTTGACTCCACTTACAAACTAAATCTTCAGATACCTTTGTTTTCATTAATCACCCATAGTGAGTCTCTCCTAAGTGACTAAGCTTTTCTGAGAAGTGATTTAAATTCTATAAAGAGGCCCTGTGGAGTGGTGGGAGGATCACTGAACCTGTGTTAAAAAGACTTAAAAAAATTCCATTCTCAGTTTCCTCATCTGTAAAATGGGTTTAATGATATCTACATATCTTACTTCATAAGATAGCTCATGAGGTCAAAGGAGATTAAGTCAGTGAAAATAGTTTGACTAAAATGCAGAATGAATATAAGATAATGTATTATTTCCTACCTCTATTCATTTACCTGATTCTTCTCATCCTATAGCAAAACTTACCTAAGCTTGCCTTCTGCTTTAGGACTTCCTTTCATTTATCCTAGTATTTTCCTCATCACAGGAAGGGAATAAGCATTTGCTGTGTGTTCTGTATGTGCATTCTCTTCATAATGGTACCTATGACCCAGGTACCGTTATCTGAATTGTACATACAAATGCTAGTTCATAGTAGTTCATGTCCAAGGTCATGCAGCTAGACCTTAAGTTTAAACTCAGGTGTCCCTATCTCATTGCCCACATGAAATTTCTATCACATCATACTACCTTCCAAGTTTTAAGGAGTTTCCCTCCTTTGTTTCTTTTGTATCTTTGATTTTGTATACAAGTTCACCTTGGGCTTCATTATAACATGATGATTTTCTTTAAAGATTTATTTATTTTAGAGAGAGACAGAGAGAGTGAGAGCGTGGGGGGTGGGGAGGGGCAGAGGAAGAGGGAGAGAGAAACTCAAGCAGACTCCGCACTGAGTGTGGAGCCTGACACGGGACGGGATCCCATGACCCTGAGATCAGACCTGAGCCGAAATCAAGAGTCAGATGCTCAACTGACTGTGCCACCCAGGCACCCACAACATTATGATTTTTAAAATTTTGATCATATTTCCTCACCTTTTGTCACTCCAGACTGAGATGTCCACCTTATTCTGGCAGTCTTCTCCATTTCCTGGATCTTTGTACTTGCATTTATTTGGACATTTCTTGAGCTATAACAGCTAAAGTTGCATGCAATGTTGCAGGTGCAGGCCCTCCAGGGCTGGGTACCGGGGCAGGATAATGTTTCCAGATGTATTTCCAATATTGACCACGATACCCAGGTTATCATTAGCTGTTTGGGCCGAAGTGGGGCAATTCCGGTGGAACATCTCCCAGCTATAGCCAGAAACCGTGCGGCCAGCTGTCAGGGAACATGGTGTCCTGAGGTCTCTAAAACTTTTTTTCTCTTATTTATTCAACAAGTATTGAAAAAGCACCAACCCTCTGCCAGTTTCTGTTCTAGTTGCTGTGGGTAGGGTAGAGTATAAAACACCCCAAGTTCCTGTTTCCATGGAGTATATGGAGTAGTGTGGACAAACATTTGACAGATACAAAAATGTATAATATGTCAGAGATTATTACAATAGCTGTCTAACTGGCCTCCCTGTCTCCAACGAGGCAGTAAATGCTATGTAGAAAAATAAAGTTGGGTGAGAGAAATAGAGAAAGGTTGGGCAGAGGATTTGCTTCTCTGTGTAGGATGGTCAGGGACATCTGCGATAAGGTGAGGTCTGAGCAGAAACTTGAAGTAAAGGTTATCTCAGAGAAGAACATTCCAGGCAGTAGAGAACAGTGAGCGCACCCATCGTGGGGAAGCTACTTAGCACATGCGAGGTGTGCCAGTATAGTTGAAACTACGTGAGAGTAGAGGGGTCTAGGGAGATGAGGTAAGAGATAAGGTCAGAGCTCCAAGGTTCAGGAAGGGCAGATCATGCATGGTCTTGTAAGTTACAGTGAAGGACTTTGGGTTTTCCTCTGCCAGGGAGGAAGGCATGGGAGTATTATGAACGAAGAGCTGGCCTGATCAGGCTTAACATTTTAAGAAACTCACTCTGACTGGTCTGTGGAGAATACACTGTGGGAAAGGAATGGTGGAGGCAAGGAGGCCAGTTAGACAGCTCTTTTAATAATCCAGGTGAGAGATGATGGTGGCTTGGATGGTGGCTCAGGGCAAAAGGTGGAGTTAAGGGCAAAATGTCATTTGATCCTGGATATGGACTGGATATGAGAGAAAGAGAAGAGTCAATGGTGACTCCAAGGTTTTCGGCTTGAGCAATTGCAAGAACTGGATGAATGGAGTTGCCTTTTATTGAGCTGAGGAATAGTGCAGAAGGCATGTTGTGTGTGTGTGTGTGTGTGTGTGTGTGCATGTTTGCATGTGGTGGCAGAGAAGTTGGAGTTCTATTTTGTGTATTTGAAGTCTGAGATACTTCCAAGCAAGGACTGCAAGTAGACAGCTAGATATGAGTGTGATGTGTTCACAGGAGAGGTTAGGGCTGGAGTTATAAGTTTGGGATCTTAAAAGCCCTGGGGCTGAATGAGCTCACCTAGGTAGATCGATAAATCGATAAGAAAGAGGGCAGAGCTCTGAACCCTGGAGCACTCTAACATACCATTTAGAGCTTGAGAGATAGTTGGAACCAGTAACTCAGTCACTCGTAAGTTGCTTTGTTGGCTCTGAGGCAGCAGCTACTGTAAATACTGGGTTTGCCTATTAGAGATCTGCTCCCAAAGTGGGAGACCACCAGGGATATTTGTGCTTGTGCGTGTGGCCACTACACAGGATCACTGAGGAAAAGCACACAAAAAAGGCTCCTGGCTTATCATTAAAAAACCTGCAGGAGACTCCCAGGATGGAAAATTAGGTTGAATTAGTTTAGATTTGGAAAATTTGAGGAGAAAGCAAAGAAATCATATAGTCCTGATAATATAAACATATCTATAATATGACAGAAACAAGAAACTCTTGATACCATGGATATACAAATCATTAGCATGTGCATTTGTAAATTCACAAGATTAAACATATCAAACTGCATATTAACAAAATCATCTCTACAATACATATAAATAAAGTTTGGGTTTTGGAACTCTTTTTTTTTTTCTTCCCCTTCTCTGATTGCAATTGGTGTTTAGGTTTTAGGTCACCCCATAGAAAACTTGTTTAACCCATGATGTATCTCAGGCATGGATCTAACTGTTCAATTTTCAATTTTCAACCATGTTGTTAAAAGTTTTCAGTTGCAATTCTGGATAGCAACAACTACCTTATCTGATAGACAACCAAAGCCATGTGTTCAAAAGGGATGAGATATTATTGGTCTTCAAAAAACATATTCTCCTTTTATTTCTCCCTACACCTCCCCTGCCTCCAAACCTGCTACTTCCCTATTCCTAATTTGGCTAGCTAGAGGTAGGGGAAAGGGAAGTGGAGCCAGAGAACAAAGATATTAAATTCTTGGTTAAGTTTGGAAAGTCTTGATCTTTGTCTAAGATAGAGAGATTTAAAAGAATAGTAGTAGAGATAAGGGTTCTCTAGACTGGGTCATAGACTCAGAGCAGGAATTGGACAGGAAATGGGAGGCGGGGACAGTAATGGGGCTACTGAGAAGGGACCCTACCTTGCACCTCTACCCCATTATTTCCAAAGCCATGAGTGGGGTAAAATGTAGGCACTTCTCCAAACATCATATACTCAAGCCCCATCCTCTAAGTCTCAGAAGGATCTCATTGCTTCCTCTGGTTCAGTTTCAGGAGAGGGGCTCTGGGACAGGTCTGTCACCTGTGAGACCACCAGGAATGTCCAGTTGGGCCATGGTGGTAGGGAGTGGGGGCCTTGGTGGAAGAAACACAGTGGCTTTGATCCTTCTTCTCTGTGGGGCAGTGTCTTTAGGACAAATGCTCTTCTCTTCCCTTTCATGTGGCAGAGTAGCGGGGTGGGCTAAGGCTGCCCCTGTTTTGGAGGGGCACCTGCCCTTGACTTGCCTAGTGGGATCAGTTTGGCCTCTTTTTGGATGTCTTCATCTTCATCCTTTCATACATTTTTCTTGAGGAGCCTTTTTTGTGCCCACAAATGTAGATTTAAGATCTGCTTCTTTGTACTCCAGTGCTACAATGCTTACAGCATTGGCCTTACTGTGCTACCTACTTGTCTTCCCTACCAGATTGGGAGCCTTTAGGAAAACAAAGACCAAGTTACAACCATATTTATAATCCCTGAGACCCAGGATGGTGCCTGGGTCATGGTCAACAAGCAATCAGATTTATTACATTACAAAGGAAAACAAACACATTTACATGCCCATTTCTATGCCCTGAGTGTTTTGTTACCTGGGGTGAGTAACTGAGTAGGCAGAGGAGAGTGACTTGGCCGAAGCAATAAGACACTTTCTGTCGGACAGATGTTCTGTAACAATGACTGTAATCACCGACAGCATGTTTTCTCATCTTCACTCTATTCCCTGCTCTTCAGAGAACAGATTGAGGTCGATTTTCTCTGGAAAGCCTCTGCTGATGATCCATCCTACAATCTGCCAGTCTTCTTCTTCCTAAGATGTTTCCTGTTATCAATTTGTAGCCATAAATACACGTTTCTAGATTTTATAGTCAGTCTCGCTTCTCGCCACATCGTGTTCTTAGAAATCCCATCTTCCATAAAATGGAACATTTTCTCCTCTGGTGCCAATGTTGTAATTGAGGGCTGACCAAGGACTCAGTGTCACAGAAAATACAGTCATGATCGATAACCTGTCAAAAAGACAAAGCTACAGCTGCAATCCTCTAAAATAATTTAACATAGTAGAATCATGCCTGAGTCCCATAAAAGATCGTAAACACACATTGATTATGCAAGGATGCCTGGAATTATGTAAAATCATAAAATTCAACCCTACCCTATCATAAATTTTTTTCCTAAAATTAATATACACATTCAAATGACTATTTTCAACACATTCATGAACAACCATTTGATCCACTTTTACATTATAAGTGGAATCGTGGAAGATTATTTTGGTAGTTTAGACCTCTTGTCAACGTCAGTCCAAGCAAGTTGGAAGTTATGCACCTCTTGCTGTAGGGTGTTCTCTCCAAACAGGGCTTCCAAGTCATTCAATTGATTCTGTCATTGCACCCAAATTAGTAGGCTCAAGAAATGTTTCCTATAGTTTATGACAATAGTGGTGTTTCTTTCCTCCTCTGAAAAGCTGACCCAATCTCTCTAACCTTACTCTTCTCCTTTCCTTGTTTTAATTTAAAGCTAAAGGCGGAGTTACTTGGTAGAGGACCAAAGCAGAGCTAGGGAGAGCCACGAAATGGCCTTAAATCACTCAAGCTCTACTTCCTTCTGTGAATGATTCCTCCTCAATTCAATTTTTATGGTAAAAGCAATAAAACAACTGCTGATTGTGAGCAACCCCCCCCCCAAAAAAGGAGGTTCAAAACATCTGTGACATGACTGCTAAGAGGTCTGGCTGTCCTTGCTTAAAATTCAATTAAACAATTCAGTTCACATTTATTGAAGGCCCACTATGTGCCAGACCTGATGTGTGCTCAGGAGATGCTGAGACAAAGGTGATAGCTGGCCTTCCGGGAGCCTGGGGGAGGTGTGGGTGTTAGGAAAGCAGCATTTAAGGGGCACCAGGGTGGCTTAGCCGGTTAAGTGACCGACTCTTGGTTTTGGCTCAGGTCATGATCTCAGGGTCGTGAGATCAAGCCCAGTGTCAGGCTCTGCACTCAGTGCAGAGTCTGCTTCAGTTTCTCTCTCCCTCTCCCTCTGCCCCTGCCCCCCTAC